TTTAACAGTGCCAAACTGCCCAGCATAATCTAATGGGGCCTAAGACGCAAAGATATATGAACCATTCCCCTATAATTTTTCATAACCCAGTTTAGACTCTCTCTGATACAAGGAACTATGCATCTCTTCTTGCCAGGTCCATAGGTATACATTACCACTGCACATACATTAATTAGTAAAAGAAAACCATTCGAAAACTTTATACCCCACATACTTTTAACATATATCTTTATCCCAACATCCACATACTTTTATAAACAACCTTGCTTTCCATCTTTTACATTACTACCCTCATACTGCACACTCCTCGCACCCACTCACAACTGGCTCTTCTTCGCTCCTACAAGATATTATACCTCCCTGTCCAATGCACAAAATCACAACTTCCCTAACACCAACATTTAGCAGTTACTAAAAATATTCCTTCCATTTTCCCGATACCTCCGACTATCAAATCCATTCCTTTCCTTGGCTTTCTGAACTTACTGGTTTCAGTACAAAAACTTTTCCTTATTCTCAACAAAATTTGTTGATAGCATCTAAACCACTTTCATTTGCTCTCTTTTTCCATTCCTTCAACACTCTCTTAATCTTTCTTTTTCTGTCCATAAAATACTCCCTTCTCATATCACTTCTACTTTGTAAAATGTTTCTTATGCTAACTTTTTCTTTCTTATCACTCTCTTTACCTAATTATTCCATCAATCACTCTTCTTCCCTCCCACACCCACTTTCCTGTAACCATAAACTTATGCTGAACACTCAAGCACTACATTCTTAATTTACCCAATACATCTTCAACGTCATTGCCTATACTCTCAGTAGCCCATCTTTCTTCCAAGTTATTTATATCTTACCCTAATTGCCTCCTTAAGTTTATAAACCTTCACCTCTCTCTTACTGATTCTATTTTCCTTGTATCCCATCTACCTTTCACTCTTACTGTAGCTCTATCGAAAAAATAATGTGAAACATCTATGGCCCTCTATAAATATGCACTCTCTGAAGTCTACCCATCGACCTTTTGTCTACCAATACATATTCCATGAAACTACCGTCATTACGCCCTATATCATAGCATGCATAGTTATCCTTTTTTTTACATAAAATACGTATTACCTATTACCAAGCCCCTTTCTATACAAAGTTAATGAAAAGCTCCCCCCCCATTATCATTTACACCTGGCACCCCACATTTACCTACCACACCCTCTATATCCGTTTCTCCTACTTTAGCATTTTGGTCCCCTACCACAATTACTCTCTTGGTTCAAAATTTCCTAATTTCCTAAACACTTCTCATTATACCTTCCAAAATCTCTGTCTCTCTTCTCTACACTCCTCTCTCCTCCCGGTGCATACTCACTTCACTTATGATAATCCACTTTTTGCATGCGATCCTTATTTTAAACCACATAATCCTTGAATTTATACATTTATATTCCATCTTCTCCTTTCATAGCTGACCCTTCCTTATCTCTAATTCTCTCAGATACTGATGACTTAATATCATTTACTCCTCCCCACATAAACTCCAGTAAGGTCTTGAGCTTTTTTTCACATAGATTATTATTATTATAATCAAGGGGGAAGTGCTAAACCCGTAGGATTATAGTTTTTCACATAGAGCCAGGACATCCAACTTCTTTTCATTCATAACATCAGCAATCATCACTTTCTTATCATCTGCACTACATCCTCACACATTCAAACATCCCAGCTCAATAAAGTTCTTTTTCTTAATTTAAGTAATTTATTTAGGAGAAGGGGTAACTAGCTCATTGTTCCCGGCCTTTTATGCGCTGCCGACGACACGCATGGCTTACCGAGAAAAGATTATATTCCACTAACCCATGGAGATGAAAGGAAATGAAAAGAACAACAACTATTTAGAAAAAAAATAGTAGAAAATTCAGACCAGTGTGTATACATATACGTGCACATGTGTATGCAGTATGCCTAAGTGTAAGTAGAAGTAGCAAGACGTACCAGTTCCCTTGCGTGTTTATACGACAGAAAGAAAAAGACAAAAACATTCCCACCCATTGTGTAAAACAATGTATATTATATATATATATATATATATATATATATATATATATATATATATATATATATATATATATATATATATATATATACATAAATCACCAAAATGAGAGAAACATAAAAGGAGACATTGGAGAAGCGCAACTTTATTTTTCTTCCACTCATGTAAAGACAAGAACATCAGTTCTAGAAGAAACATAATAAGTGCTAACCAAAAGAAGCAACAACAAAAAAAAAAACCGCATGGGAAAAGAATCACAAGAATTCCTATACTAAAAGAACAACACAAAGAGACAACATAAAAATTGCAGCTGGAAAGTGCAGGAGGTGGGAGTTCAGTAAGTGCTGACCAGAAAAGTAATAAGAATAGCATAATTAAAATGTGTCATAAAAACAGCAGTATAAGAAGACAAACACAAGAAGAGCAACACAAGAAGAGCAACACAAGAAGACAAACACAAGAAGAGCAACACAAGAGAGCAACACAAGAAGACAACACAAGAAGAGCAACACAAGAAGAGCAACACAAAAACAACACAAGAAGAGCAACACAAGAAGAGCAACACAAGAAGAGTAGCACAAGAACAACACAAAAAGAGCAACACAAGAAGAGTAGCAGAAGAACAACACAAGAAGAGCAACACAAGAAGAGTAGCACAAGAAGAGCAACACAAGAAGAGCAACACAAGAAGAGCAACACAAGAAGAGTAGCACAAGAAGAGCAACACAAGAAGAGCAACACAAGAAGAGCAACACAAGAAGAGCAACACAAGAAGAGCAACACAAGAAGAGCAACACAAGAGAGAAAAAAAGTAGCACAAGAAGAACAACACGAGAAGAGCAACACAAGAAGAGCAACACAAGAAGAGCATATAAAAATGAGCGGTATATACAAAAAGCTACAAATGCAATACAATAAGAGCATTGCATGAACAACAACACGCACAAAAAAAATCAAGAGAACATGAGAAGGTATATACAAGATTATCAACACAATTTTCATACGTATAATACAAGGGACAATGTCTACACTATAAACACCCACCATAAGCTAACTATAAACACTCTTATCTTGTTATCAAAAGCGTCAATCTAATTTAAATAAAATATATGTTCCTCACAACGTTAGTATATTTTTCTGACGTTTAAGGAGCTGGACATGAGTGCTCAGTACAGTGTTTACAATGCAAGAAATATATATTCTATTTGTGTAACCTACCTTGAACAGCTTTAGTACTGCAGATGAGCTGGACGAGAAGTGCAGAGTGACGTCTGGGGACCGTTGCTACTCCATTTATATGGAAGCGGAGAACGCTGTACTCTCATGTGATTGGCCAACGTCATAGGTTCAAAGCGTCTAGAGTGCAGTGATTGGCTACAGTTTAGTGAAGGATTGTTAGAGCAACGGTGGAAACCACGTCCGTCTTTTTAGGGCGTCAAGAGTAGAAGGAAAGTGTAATTAATTGTTCAGTATAATATAATTATTAAATTATTCTGATTATCCACAAATAGATAAACAGAGACAACTGCAGGAGTCCACAATCATTGTTACCACTTCCCCACTGTTACCACACTTTTTGTTACTACATTATTACCACCACCCCTACTGCCACCACCCCTTCTGTCACTTTACTAATACCAACACTTCACCATTACTACCGTCACCACCCCTATTGTTACAACACCTTTTGCCACCTTACTATTACCTTACTATTCACCAAAGCTACCATCACTACTATTAGTGTTACCAACACTATACTACTACTGCCACCATCATTGTTTCCTCCTCTGCTATTAAACAACTATTGTCAAACACACTATTGCTATTACCAATAATGTACCTAAGGTATGGCACGTGCCCTGGGCGCCACTTGAAGGGGGGCGCCACTAAGCAGTTTCTATTAAAGTCAGAAAAAACATCTTCGTATAGTGAAACAAAAATAATTTTCTTCAGATGTATAAAATGGAAAGTAATTTATCTGAAAACTTAGGAGTTACTGAGGCGGAACTTCAGTATCAGATTGAGAAGGAAAAGCAGTAGTAGCGTAATATATTGACGAGAATCCTCCACTACATAAAATTCCAGGCTTTGCGAGGACTCATGGAGTCACTTCTGTTGGACGATGACTCCAATGCATGAAAGAACACCTCACTCGTCTGGAAATTATTCCTGAATCCACATCTCATCTTTCACTGAGTGTCCAGAACGAATTCATCCAAATGATGACATCCAATGTTCGCCAGAGTTTACAAAGAAGCATTCATAAAACCAAGTACTTTGGTCTCATGTTCGACTCGACTCCTGATTAGGTACACCGATCAGGAAGTCGAGTCGAAGTAGTGAGGTACGTGGGCGTTTATTTTCAGAGGAAAACAGTCCGTGTTAGAGAGTTCTTCCTTGGTTTTATCCAGATAAGCCAGAAAGATGCTGAGAGTTTGTTTGAAGACATCTTGAAATAGCTAGAGAAGGAAGAAATGGAGCTACAAGATTGTCGGTCGTAGTGCTATGACAACGCTGCTGTGATGGATGGACACAGATGTGGTGTTCATCAAAGAATAATTGAGAAAAAAAATCTGGCAGTGCTTGTGTCTCGCAAAAATTATTCACTCAACTTGGTGGGTGTACATGTAGCCAAGAAGGATACAATGACAGTATTTTTTATGGAACCATCGAAGCTCTCTACATGTTCTTCTCTCGTTCAACACACCGCTGAGAAAAACTAAAAAACGCCGTGCCTGTGGTTGATAAGTAGGAGTCCGAAACTAGGTGGAGTGCAAGAACGGAAGAAGTGAAGCCCATCAACAAGTACCTTACGTAAACACTTCAAGTTCTCCAGGGCATGATAGACACTGAAAACGAGACTAGTGATACAAGAAGTGACGCATGTTGAGTTTACGATTTTGTAAGTCTGCCAAGATTTTGGAACAAAGTACTCATTCGTATTGACCGTATGCAAGAGAGACTGCAGGATCCTACAATGAACTTCAATGATGTTGCCCTGGATTTGAATTCCCTCCGAAGCCATTTTAATGATGAAAGAGAAGTGTTGATCAGAGAGTCACTCGAAGAAGAACTCCGTCTCTGTCAAGAATGGAATATTGAATTTGAAAGACTTCAGAAACGAAAGAAACGAATGGCTAATGAGAACTGGTGAGGCACTTGGTTAAAAGCCAAGGACGAAATGGAAAAAATCATGAAGGGAACACTCGACCGTCTTTACAGAAAATGGATGAAAGATTAGCTCGTTTGCAAAACACTGATGTCAAGGAAAAGTGTTACGGCTCCGACACTAACATCCTAAAATAGAAGTGCGAAAATTTGGGCCAATTGTACACAACTGATATTGTTGGACAGCAGCTATATGAAGAAATTTTGGATTGCAGAATGTTGCTATCAAGTCGGGCCAACATAAAAATACCAAAACCTGAAGAGCTTGTATTTATTGTTCAGTATGGGGATGAGAACATCTTCCCCAATCATCGCAATGCTATTCAGATAATGTTAACCATCGCAGTTACCATCGCCAGCTGTGAGAGATCATTCAGTAAGTTAAAACTAATACTTTCGTATTTGAGAGCTTTCAAGGGTCAAGGCAGACTCTGTGATCTTGCTCTGCTGAGTGCAGACGGAAACTAAAAAAAAAAAAAAAACTGAATGTCGCATCATACACCAATTTGCGTCAGTGAAAGCAAGGGAGGTACAGTTGTAATTTTCATGTAGTACCATAATTTGTTAATTAAAAGTTTAATGAACTTCAGTTCTTGCCATAGGTTCTAGCATCCGTAGAATCGCCCCTGGTTACTACCAGTAACTTTTATAACCACTGTTGCTCCCATCAGTTCGTAATAATAGAATTTTTCAGATTAACTTTCTATGCTACAACAATTTTTCTATAGATACCCCAGCTAAGACGATACATTGATTAAATAGAAGGGAATTTATTGAAGAATAAATGTTATCACAGCGCTTAGGGCATATTTTTTACTCAGATTTGAGGTTTGAGAAAAATAACACTAAACCACTAAAGTTAAATAAAGAACAATTAATTTTAATATTAATTTTAATGGTTGGCTTTTATTTAAATAAAACTGTTTAGTGGCAGTTTTCTCATGTCATTCCCAACTTGAGCAAAAATATCAGCCACAAAATATAAGCTACAACCACTGCATACTCTTAGCTGCTCTCTCTGGAAAATTTATTGAATCATAAATTAATTGACAGCAATTTTAAAGACGAAGAGCCAGATATGTTTTATCATGTTATGTCTGAAAGAAAAGAGAGCACTACATATAGTTTACGAAAGTGGCTAACTTGCTACTGTTCGACACGTGAACTTAAGAAAGGTTCCAGTTCAAAAGTTTAATTCTGCATTAGTTTAATTTTATTCCAGCTTGTTAGTATCTACATCTATTTCCACCTTCATTCGGAACTTGACATGATAAGGATGGGGATCGGTTCTCAGAACTCTATTCACATCTTGTTACTTCAGTAATATTTTCTTTACTTTGATGGCTACAGGGTCGACCTCATGCTCAACGTTACCCTGGCAAAGAGCCAATATAAGAAACTGACATCAACGATGTGCAAAATTCTCCATTTGTTACTGCAAAGAGAGATGAACCAAAAACATGGCTACAAAGATGTCAAGAGCACCGTCCGTTGGCCAGGAAAATGTTGAAACAATTGTAGCTTCTTAATAATTTTATTAAGTCCTACAGTGTTGTGGGCGAAGTACATGCAGATATTATTTACCGAAATGGTGATTTTATATTAATGATTTTAACATAAATAATCTCAATGATATCAAAATGATTCTCTGCATAATACATCATGGTGAAATATTCCGTATTAAATTTTTGGCAAAACAAAAAAGGTGAGTTTCTCTGTTTGGAAAATGAATGAAACATGATTCAATCATGTTTCATAAAAATAATATTGATTTACAAAGGAATATTAGTTCATGGTTATACTTTATTTTCATTTTGCATATACATATATTTATATTAATATGAAAAATAAATTTAATGTATAACGTTAAGTAATATTCATATTTAAATTAATACTATTTTTTATGAAACTTGAATGAATCATGTTTCACTCAACTATACACCTGCTTAATACATCTTTCTCGGCCTTTTAAAAATATCAATTAGATGGTTAAAATCTCTCAAATGAACAAACTGAACATTAGTCTATTGTTCACTTCTAATGCTATATTTATGTTGTTTTAATCATAGTTCAAGACTTTTCCAGTTTGAACATAGTAAATTTCATTACAATTTTTACAAATTTCATTTTTTACTGTATCATGATTTTTAAATACAATTGATACCACACGACTCTTCCCAATATTCCCTAATTGTGTTTCTTTGTTTCCCAGTTATATTCTTCATTGATCCAGAAACATATTTTTAAATTTCGGTTAAAATATAAAAAAAAAATGAATTAACAAATTTTGCCCAAATCTCTTTTGCCAAATAGACTTCATGACAAAAAAGATCGCCTCTTTGAAAATCATAAGAAATATTGTTCAGAAACATATTGAAGTTACTATAATACCAACAAAGGAATCATTCAAAATATTGAGGTGTAGAGAATATTCTTTAATCTGGCTTTTCCATTAGAATGTAAATAAAGTTTTGTTACTTCATTGTTAAAATAAACTCAGAAGAGTTTGTACTGAACTAAAAAATAAAATAACGAAGCACAAATTAATTTGATTTAAAACAGTGACTGGATTAAACATGTTAATAACGATTTTGTAATAACTTTTCAGATGAAACATAAGGTAAATATACAACCTCTGCTCTAGGTATCTGTCTAAGATTTGCAACCTCTGGAAAAGTCAGTAACAAGAAAATTGCAGAAGCCTTTGGTAAAATACAAACCAGGTAATCAAGCAGACCCATACTTAGCTCCATAGATTAATTTTCCTATAAATTTTCTAAATGGCTAGTAGATATGTTGAGCCCAATTGTTGACAATTTTTTTAATTTTAATGATAAAAATAATATAGGTTTAGTTGACATATAACCACCATAAGTGATTTAAATATTAACAGTATGGTTAGTGATGCCACTTTTTTGTTTACAAAAGTTCCAGTTTATGATTTATTAAGTTTCCTATCTGAAGAACTGGGTACATACGATTTACCATTGCCAGTACTTACAGTTATTGAGCTTATTAAACTTTGTATTGTTGATGCAAAGTTTGTGTTTAATGACAAGTTTTACACTTAAAACTTTGGTATGGCAATGGGAAATCCTCTCTCGAATGTCCTTAGCAATTAGTACAAGAAATATTTTGAAATAAGCCATTTCCTTGTTGAATTAACTACCCTAGCTCATTCCATTTTGCTGTTGGGTTTGAACAAGATAACCCATTGCCTTTTTTTGGATGTCTTAATTATTAAGGGGAACCATTATTTTAGATTCAAAATATAAAGAAAACCAACAAGAAACTATTTTTAGTATTCTTCACACTATGAGAAAGTTAAACTCTTTGTATTCTCGTCCATATTTTTGAGAGATTTGCGTATTTTCAGCCCAGAATTCATAGATGAAAAAATCTTGAAGATTATTGAAAAAGCTAATGATCTAAAATATTTTGAAAATGCTTATTTGATAAATCTTTTTAAATTGCTAGAAAAATATTTTACAAATCACAAAAAGACAAACAATCATATTCCTCCAAGAATATGTTGGTTCTCAATTACCTTGAAATACATGACATAACTTAAAAATTCTTTATACAGAAAAAAACCTGATTAAAAATTCTCCCAAAATTCTGATGTCTGTGTCTACAAGATTCTTTGCGAAAAAAAAAGTCATAGACTTTATTATGGTCAAAATGAAAAAAAAGCATTGTACTAAGATTAAAGCAACATAAATATAAGATTAAAATTGGACAAGAGTCTAATGCTCTGTTTATTCATGGGAGACATTTTAACCATCCAGTTGATTTTCAAAAGGCCGATAAAAGTTGCATTATGCATGTCTCTGATTGAAAGAAATGCAATTGAATAAAGCTTCAGAAAAAAATTTTACTGCTTAATATACGATATCGAGTTAGATACATTCATTATTAAACAAATCTAAGGTGATCTAGGTTAGGAGTGACAGGGTCTTAACACACCTACCCTCGTTCTTCAGAGATAGGTGCAATGTGACATGTGAGGTGAAAAATACTGAGAGAAATTGACAAAGCGGTTAGAGACAGTATGTTTCATAAATAGCACACAGGAACGAAGTGTTACAGGTGGAAGATGAAAACTCAAATGAGTCACAGGTATGTTAGGAAGTATTTCCACAGCATTATAGTTATCAGGAAGTGGAACACTCTCGAGAGTGATGTAGTGAAGGCAGGATCCATAAATAAGAGGGGGAAAGTGAGCCTAGTAGCGACCAGCGAAGAGGCGGGGCCAGCAGCTGCGACTCGGTCCCAGCAACCACATACAGTAGGGTACAAATAGGTGCATACTCACACACACACACAACACACACACACACACACACACACACACACACACACACACACACACACACACACACACACACACACACACACACACACACACACACAACACACACACACATACACACACACACACACACACACACACACACACACACACACACCACACACACACACACACACACACACACAGGACAAACAGAACAAAACGACACGTGTTGAAATCCTTCTTCCAGAGGAACAAAAAGCTCTGCTCCTCCATATGGAAGCTCGTCTTCAAGTGGAACAACATGTTCAGACCCCACCTACTGCAAGATCCACCTCGCAACCAGCACTTACCTTCACCACCAACCTCCTGGGCAACAGCAACCCTAAAGCCAGAGCACAATAAGAGAAAGGAAACAAAGTATGCTGTCAGAATGCGGATTGATGGGACAAACCGTGAAAGACATGAATGGAATGAGTGGATAGGGGAGGCATCCCATGATATTGTAGTAATAAAATAGAACAAGCTAAGTCAGGTAATAATTGATGCGATCTTCCATGAAGGATAATAGCTGAAACAGAGGAGGTGCAGGAATGACACAGTTAATGCAGATAACGGAATATTAAGGAAATGATTGGGTTAAATGGAATGAGAGTTAAGGATTACCTTATGGGGATACTCAGAACTGGGAAACATAAGGAAATGATGGTTGTGATGCACAAACTACTACTAAGACAGGAGTACAATGACAACTTCACGGCGATGGATGACACGTTAAGTAAAGGTGCCTTGATGAGTCCACACATACTATGCAAAGTTACTGCTGTTTGGAGACTTCCATCATACAGAAATAGGTCTGTTGTTGGATATATGAAGAGCTAAATTGTTGGAGGTGACAACGGAAAAACTTCATGATACAGAATGTTAGTAACTAACTGTTGCCCATATGTCTTACCTACCAACCTGTCGGTATTGTATACCATGTTAATATTCACTCTGTCAGACACTGCAACACAAGGACATCTTGGTACAGAAGAGAAAACACCTTGGACAACCTTTGCAAGTGAGAACTGATGGATCTGACG